TTCACATTCCTCACTCCTGCAGCAGTTCTGACAATGCACAGTCACTGCCTTTGCTACAGTCATACAACTTACAAAAAGCAAGAATTCAAGCCTCTACCTTTCCCCAAACGTCCATCGAGCTCACAAGTTCAAGATGAGGTCCCACCAATAGTGACTGGACCTGGCAGCCAGACTGACTAATTCAACTTCTAGTCTCCACAGAAACACCCAAGATAGCCCTGATCCTGCCTATGCCCAATTAAATCAGTTCCTTAGACTGAACTGTCCCTCACCCCAATTCAAAATTCTTACTCACGTGTTAAACTTTGAAACCAATGTAAAGGACTTAATGCAGGGGGAAGCTCTCCACTGAATCAGTGCTTTGGCCAAAGAAGGTTTCTTTGGCAGGAAAAGACAACAGTCATGGTAGGGCAGCTTTGAAAGTGCACATCAAATAAGGAAGTTAAAATTCCAGGTATGCAGGTTAATTTGTTTGGTGAGGTCTTTTTTCCAAAGGTTTAGGCTTACTGGGGTCCAACTTTGTACCAGCAGCAAAACACATATAGCTGCTGCTTCTGCATGCTGGAGTCTTAGGATCCAGCTCTTCCCTCACTCAGCCACAGCAATAGCTCCCCTTTGAGAAGGTAATTTAGAGATAAATACATGGGGGAGAAGGTGAAATCTTTGTATTTCTTCAGTTGTTACCATCCTCTATTAAACTTCTTTAAAGGTATTACCTCGAGGAAGAAAGCCAGTTAAGAACAAAACGTCAATGAGTGACTGTTATTTAAGCATTATGAGCCTGAAGAGGAACGCGGATTTGTATCACATACTGTTAGATAAACCTAAAGATGTTTAATCTTTTTGCCTCCTGAACAGTCAATAAAGCATTTCTTTAGAAGCTCAGACTCATGATAACAAACACAGTGCTGTAGCTTCCATGATGGATGGTAAAATGGGTTACGGTCATGCCTGATTTCCTTACAGCTTATCGTTTGGGCAAGCATAGTTAGAGCTCCTTTTATTATGCACATTATCCTGTTTTAATCAATACTAAAGTTCATCTGCCTCTTTATCCACCCAGTAACTTCAGTGTCATAAGATCTTTTTGCAAGTCTTCACAGTCAGTTTTAACTTTGGCTACTCTGAGTGCACAGCTTCACTGCTTCATCCAAACCATTTAGGAAGACGCCAAACAGCATGGACCTCCATATGACACCACTGCTAACTTTGGTCCAGTGTGAAATCTGCGCTCTTGTTTCCTCCCAGTTGTTAAACCACTAGAGAGTACATGACAGCTTAAGGTTTTTTTAAGAAACCTAGGTCAGGGCACTTGTCAAAAGCTTTTTCAAAATCCAAATACACTTTATCAACCAGACCAACCCTATTCAAATGCTTGCTGACTCTTCCACAGAAGGCTAACGATGTGTTCCACCTGTAAAAGCTTCATCAACTGATCCCTACTGTATCACTTTAATCCCTGCCTGCTAATTTCTATCTTCATTATTGTTTCAACCACTTTGCCTGGTTGCCTGGTCTGAAAGTCAGCCTTACAACACTATAATTCTAGATTCCCCTTTTTTTCCCTTTTGGCCCCAAAGTGACATCACATTTTCCATATTCTGTTCCTGTGTCTCTTGTAATGTATTAAATACCAGCTAAACGACAACCTTGAGCATCAGTGAGGTGGGAAAATGTTAAGAATTACTATCACAGGGGAAATACGGAAAGCCAATCATATTGGTCATGGTAAATATTTCAACATGTACTTTGCTCTAAGCTTTCAGCACATTTGCAAAAGAAACGGGACTACCCAGAGTGTGTCATTACAGATAGTAAATAGTCGCTATAGTATTCAGACCTTACTCACTCACAATAAACAGAATTTCCACACAGTTGACATATCATTCACCTCTTCAGCTTTTCATAAAGGAAGCCACATTGCTCCCATTGAAGTATCTTGGGCCGTTCACAGGTTTCCAGTTCAGTACTCTATTTTTCACTCTCACACAACTTATACTTTCTCCTTAAATTTATCTCTTCAGCCCCTTCACAGCAAGAAAAGGCACGTTTCCCTATGGAATCCTGTCCTGCTCTGAAAGAAACTGTTTGACAATAAGGGAAGTAAAACTTGTCAAGCTTTCCATGCTCAGAGAACTCACCCCCTTGAGGAGAATAAGGACTGGTCCTCAACGGGTCATTCTCAGCTTAGAAAGGTGAAGTTAGGTGGGAATTAGGCAGCCCATCAGCACGGCTACATTCTTACCTGTGCAGCAGAAACCAGTCCTCCACATCATAACTAACCACGCAAGACAAAACAGCAGCAAGCTGGGAGGTGAGGAAGGAAAAGGCTGCCCCACCAGCTGCTCAACCCACTGCAACCACACAGTAATAACAGGGCGAGGGACACCGCTGACCTGGGAACGATCACACAAACCAAGGAGAGCACCAGCCACAGCCACAGATGCTGCAGTAGGAAAAAGTGACTCCAGAATCCGTCACTGATTCTGTCCCCTATGTGGATCTTGTAGTTATTACTGTACAAGCTGCAAGAAAAAGCCACGGAAATAGACAACTAGGAGAAGTGTAAAGTAAAAAGCTGTTAGAAGGAGAGGGACTGAAGTTAACAGAGGACCACAGCACATCTGCCAGCATTTGCGGATTCATCTCTCAATTGCTATGATATTCCCATCATCCTCATAATGAGATAATAGCCGACTACATCTTCATCAGCAGAAGCTAGTGAAGATGAAATTGTAATGGAGAATGTTACTGCACAGTGTGCTAAATGCTACCAAAAGCTTTGCGGCATTGCTCAGAGAAGGTGAAACTATCAGTGTTTAGTACTAAAAGAACACCTGTATAGGACTGACACTTTTCCTTTGACCACAAGTTCTAAGAATTAGGATACATGAGATTTAATTTGTGCTGACTCATCATTTTTACAAAAAGCTATATTGCTGGAAGTTTCTTTCTATGGGCAAACACTGTAATTTATAAAGTTGCAAAAGAGCAATGGGTTAAGAGAGATGTTTAATAGTTATTGCGTATTTTAAACTGTGGATAAGAGAAGATGCCTAGTTATTTTTTGAGGAGTTTTAAAACTAGTAACTAGCACACCCCATCACCATTTGGATGGTCTAGATCTTAACTCGTGAATTAAAGGGTTCATGCAATTAGCAGAGAGCTCTTATCCTCTCCAGCACACCACAGGATTCTTCCAAATTGTGGTCAAGAAGTACATGGTGAGAAGGACACAGCTGGAACACTGGGCCCAAACAAACAGTATCTTCAACAATGTTTTCAGCTGAGAGCTAAACAACAGAGACATTTGAGGGTCAACAGCAGCTTGTTGACCCACAAAGTCTGGAAATTCTTGGTGCAGTGTGCCAGGCAGGAGAGAAATACCACCCGCATTGCCAGCATACATACAGGATACATGTATATCCCATGTTGGAGGAGAAGCTCACACAGCTGCTCAAGGTCCTGCTGTGTGCCCGGACCTTCTAGGAGAGCTCTTCCCTTTGAAAGCCCTCTGCTGTCCTCACTAATGAAGTAAGTAGGTAGATCACATGACCCAAGGCATATAATCTGCCATTTGGGATCACGCACTTGATTTTTATTAGACTTTGTTGATCTGTTTGAAGACACCAGATAAACCAGAGCTTTCCTCAAGGCACAAATTCATGCTGGTAAGCTCCACCAGTCACCCTCAAAGCACAGGAAAAAGCCTGAAGTCTCTTTGGCTACACCAGGACAGCACACAAGTGCAATGAGGTGCAAAGACAGTTTCACTGAGACGCAGGCACAAGGAGATACAAGCATGCTTTAATGGTCTTCCTAAGGCAAAGAGCCTCAGAAATGCCACGCTCCCTGTTACTCCTGGTGCCACAGGCAAGTGCTAAGCCTCACTTAGGCAGAGCAGGCACAACACACAGGCTCTGCTAAAATGCACACATAGAAAGGGTGTTCCTTAGCAAACCCTCCTCCACCTGGGAATCTCTAAATTACTGTGCCAGGTTTGCTGTATTCCACCATTTTATGCTACATATTACTACCATATTATGCTACATCCTCCTTTCTAACACACTGGAAAAACAGGAGAAGAAACCACATTTTCATCTGCGAGTTTCCACCTGCTTAAAATAGCTGCAAATACTCCTTTGTTCTCCATTTAGCACAAACTCACTGGCTTAAGAAATAGAGTATTCTCTGTGAGCAACAGTGTCGGCTATAGGTATTTAGGCTGACAATCTCTTTATGTTAATGCTGATATGTATGGTTACTCAACGTGCATATTTTAGCTCTCCTGTGCACATTACATACTTCAATTCTATCTTCAAACGCTAATCTCTTGTAACCTATGTAAATAAGTATTCAGACTCTGCTGCATGGGTGATAAAACAGTTATAAATATGAATAAAGCTCTAAATAATTGGGTTGTATTTTAATTAATTTTAAATAAAATTAGCACAAATTTTACAATTTGAAAGGTGCTGTGTTTCCTAAGTTGGAGAGACATCTATTTCTCTCCTGCTACTTCATTTCCATATTCCTGATTTACGGTGACCTGTGAAGCAAAGGGAAACAAAACCCCCTCAACGTAACTCCTTAACCTCAAGCAGAAAGACAGCACCAGCAGCTCAGCCTTGCTGGCAATGCAGAGACGACTTCTGTCTGCCAAAGGTGCATTGGTTTTGGACCAATGACGCCAAAGGAAAATTTGTCTCTCGCTTTAATAGAGGGAAAGACAAAACAACCTTTGCCAATGTTGTCGTCAGTGATGTTAACTGGCTTCAAGGAAGCCAACACTCTAGCACTGAATCTGCTCTGAGCCTGCCACCTCTTTCTAAATTTAACAGGTGATAACAGTTCTCAGGCACCTTCAAACGGTTGTGGCGATTTCTCTATCCCAAGACTCTTCCCTTGAGCCTATGGAGCCCTCTACTAGGCTGAAAGCTTCCAGCCCTGTTAAAATTCGTCTAGAAAACTACTTTAAAAAAATTGAAATCCAAAGTTACCTTTCCAATGCCAGGGTTGTCCTTGATTTTGGACACAGCTCTCAGAAGGCATGGTGGTGCTGGGGGAGGACAGAGCTGCAGGATGCCACTAAAGTTAGTAGCATAAATAGAGAAGTCGTGTGTGTGTGGCAGGGGCGGATGGTATTTCTTTCTCTTCGAAGACAGGTTAAGCTTCTGTGCTGCTCTGTATAAAAGTAATAGCAAGAAAGGACAATGTTACTAGGTGTTAATGGGAATCTGGACCAGACAAACAGATGCTCATTGTCATCACTGCCTGCTTAACAAATCAAGTCATTGCGTTCTAATCTGATTTCACAAGGACAAAGCATCAGGAGACTAATAGAAGGAAATACGGGTAGAAAAATTACTGGCAAAATATTCAGTTAATTTCTCCCCCAACAGAGTTTCAATTATAATCTAACTTTCCCCGCTTTCCCCCAACAGCTTGACAGCTGAATCCTAAAATGCTAAAATCTCACTGACGTAATAAAAAGCTGAAATAATCCCCTTGTCACTGGCAGGACCAGATGGACTTTGCTGGTGATAACATTATGAAAGTGGTTCTTTATACTCAACAAGTTACTCAAGGCAGAGGATAACACTCCAAGTCAGCTGAGCTAAAGATCCTCTCTTGTTGGCTGCACTGAAAATCCTTAGATAACAGAGAATTTCCTTCAAGACAGATTGGTTTTTCCTCCTCAATTCCATTCTTTCAAATTAAAAGGGAAAGCTATTAAAAAGATATGCTTTAATGTTCTGAATGATAATGATCCTGCTTTTGAAATGCAGAATTTCAAAACATAAAAGGTGAAGAAGAAGGAAAAATTAAAACATACAATTAAAATTGTAACATTCTTCCTTGTGAATAAGAATAGGAACATAATCAGTTTTTCTGCTATTCCCCATCAGCAACACAAAACAGTATAGGAAGAAACAAAAACAGAAACTCGACTCTACATCAAAACCCACATGAGGGAAAAAAAAAAAAAAATCACCCTGCAGACTTAAGTAGAACAAATATCTGTGTTAGCAAGCACACGCTGGGCAACTGGGGGTGGCAGTGAGAGTGAAATCTCAGCTCTGCCAAAGCCTAGGAGAGCTTTGCTACCTGAGTAAGACATGTGTGATCTGACCCGGAGACTGTTAGTAGACAGCCCACCCACCCTCAGATACATATCATAAAACCAATCAAACATACTATCTTTTAACATTACATTGAATGATTGTTAAGCCCAAAAAAATGCAAAGTGTGACAATGCCAGCATCTGTGGGCAACCTGAGACCCTGCTATGGATGCCAAAGGGTCTTCTGGGGACAAAGTACTATTCTGGTCCATGCTTGCAATATAAAGGCACTTCGGACAAATCAATTTACATACACATGGCAACAAAAAGTCTCTGTATACAATGGCTACTTTATATTTTCATCATGCCTTTCAGCCCAGGATATCCCAAGCACTTTTCAGTGAGATCAAAGTGGCACTAGCATCTGTGAAGTGCTATAAGCAACAGACATATGGAGAAACTAAGGCAGTGCTTTGCTGTCATACCTAATTCAGGGCAAATCTAGACCCCTAACTTTGCCACAAATCTGGTCATCAGGCAGCCTCAGGCTGAGTCGGCTTAGTAAGCTGATGAGAGAAGGAAGCTTCATTTGCTTATATTTATGGTAGGTTAGAAGCAAAAATGAACACTGAGAGCAGGAGGGCTGCACAGTTTCTTCCAGCAGCACTATTTACTTCAAATGTGTTACAGTACAAAGAACTGGCTGTGTCTGAGGAGCAAAATTACTCAGCTGGGTCAAGATTAGACAGCTAGTCAGTACCAGGGGCAGGACTCTCAAAACAGATCTCCAAAATTCCCAGTCCTATGCTCTATATTGCCAAACTTGTGTGTTAAACTCCTGGACCTTTTTACTCCATCTAATTCTAAAGATGCAGACCCCCTACGTGCTTCCTTTTCCCTCTACAAACACTGTACTATTTAGAAAAAGACAAAGGCTCATGTGATGAAAAAATGAGGCTCTAGTTCCAAACTCAGAGGGAGCCAGAAGCCAGTGCCTTGTGAGGGATGAGTTGGACTTTTGCATCTGAGGAAATAAGCAGTTTTTGACTCCTGCTGCATCCTGAAACCAGCAGGAACCACATCCCACAGTGAAGCAAAACACTGCAAGCATGGGTTTATACAGAACCTCAGGTTTTTGGTGGCAATGAGAACCGATTTAACTGCCCAAATCTCAAATTCCCTTGCGAATACCTCATTAAGTATGAAAACATATGCCTGAAATAGGACACCAGGCAAACAGTTGCAAAACTTCACTATGGTTGCAGCTGGACATTAAAACCATAATGCCTCCTAAATTACATGCAACTTTACTGTGCAGAAAAGAGTCTCTACCTGTTGGTACTCTCATTGTTGAACTCAAGACAGCTATTACCTTCTATCTCCAAGTACCAATTAACAATTGTGGTTATTATTTAATCATCTTGTTGATTAATATGAAAGATAATGTTTATTTCCTTGTTTACATGCTATGATCCCTTGTTGAAATGATAAAAACTCCTCAAGAGAACGTCTTCGAAGTGCAGTCAAGGTATGCATTAAATCCTGATGAAATAATTATTCCTTCAATAGATCTGGCTGAAGGAGCTCCTCTGGGAAACATACGTGAAACAGAATGAGATTCAAAGGACAAATTTACTCAGGAATTGCGTATTCAAGCATCTAACTAAGCGCTCATAACTTAATGAGTAAATGCACGCAAAAAGGGCAAGCTAAGCAAAATATATAAACAAATAAACAGAAAAGTCAGCCTTTTTAAAGTATAGCATCTCGCAGAATAGCTCAGTTACACAGTTTGGGACCATTTCAAAAAGTAGATCGAAGATATCAAATCCATTACTACCTTCCCCACCAAGACAGAACAACTTTCAAAGTGATTCAACTTCCAACAGTATTCACACACTTTCTGCATCTCCACTGTTCAAAGGACAGTGCCATATGCTAGCTAAAGCAATTAGCTGCTTCAATGCCGATAAATCCTCTTCCTATGAGCCCGGAGTGCCATGATTTTACTAAGAAATTTGGCAAAGGGACTGCTGATGTCCATGCGAGATAACAGGAAACTGGAAAAGCAGAGGAACTGGAGTAGCTGCTGTAGAAGATAATCAGTGCTTTGATGGGCAACAGGCCAACTTCTCTAATAATGGTGTATGTGGTTCACATTTAAAAAGCATCTCTTCTCAGGTAGCAGTGCACAAAGCTTAATTACAACCTCTCTGTGTTTAAATGCAAGAATTACTTTGCCCGACATTAAAATGAGGCTGTTTCTGGAGTTGGAGCATCACAGACATCTTGTACCAGCAGTATCAAAGAGGTTTTTTGGGTTTTGTTGTTGTTTGTTTGGGTTTTTTTTAAGGGGGAAAAGTTAAGGATCTAATGGAAAGAATAGGGCAATTTATGCAAAACAAAACATCACTTTCAAACTGTAGAATCTGAATATGAATTTAAGTAATTGTCATCCTCAGCTCCTATAAAAAGCACAGTCAGTTCTTTAACTACTACAAAAACCATCTGGGCAGCCACCTTCATATGCTTTGCTTGGGCTCCTGGACTGGTCAAGGCAAAGAGTGCCACATAAGGATTCATCAGTCCTTAAGCACTTCAGGCAGCACCGGCAATATACTTGGTGGCACCCCAGCCAAATACTCATTAGGTCGAAATGTAGGCCAGGCTGGTTTGGACATGGACCCAACTAAATTAAACAAAATCCAACTTCACAAAACTCCTTACTTCAGTAAAATTCACGAGAGTATGTATTTACAGGGAGCGCCTTCTGGGACACTCCACAGTGCGGGATTTTCTGCAATTCTTATCCAACAACCCATTACTGAATTTACGCCTAAGTTTCCAGTGTTTTTTTTCTCTAGTACTCTTTTCCTCAGGTGGAATTTGTCCCATGAAGACAAGGAAGGCAAAGCTCTCATAAACTGCACCCTTTTTGCCTATCACCATAAAGACAGAAGACAGGCTTACACCAGATCACTTTCTGCAGGAGCCTAATTAGGTGCCATGCCTATTTCCTGATCTGCTTCTTTTTCGCAAATTCAGTCTTGCACAGGAGGCCTTCACATCCATCTTCAGCACCACAGTGGCTGTCTGACCTTCTCTAATATCAACTTCTGTTTCCTCACAGGGAAAATTATGACCTCTAGGGAATACGATGCAGAAGTTAAGTGTTACAGTCATTTGTTTTTCTGGGCATTTTCCAAGCATTTTGTCACAGCTTTGACACAGATGTATGCTTTCCACCTACCTTCGCTTTCTTTATTCAACCTCCACCAAGCACTCTTCTACAAAATACTCTTGAAAGGGAAAATAAGCTCCACAGTCTTATGCCTCTTTGCCAATTAAAGCATGAGAGACACCCATGTATATTATTTTTACCTCTAGCTGTGAGATCTACTATCTGCATTTTGCTTAACTCTTTCCATCTTTAATAGAAGATGTCTTTTAAGATGCTCTGGAGAGTGCTTTTCTCATCGCTCGGTGTCACAGAAGAAAATAAAACTAATATATGGCACATGCAGGGGCACTCAAATACCTAATGACAAGGGACAGTCTCTAACCTGCTCTTTCCCCCACAAAATTTACAGATTACTTGCTTTTCTGCCATCCATGGATGAGACCAGTGAGGAAAAGCATGGCCAGATCAATTACATAATGCTCAGCATCTAGGGAATAAGACTGCAACAACAGTAGCTACAAAGCCTGCCCATTTAAAGAACCATACTTTTTTTTTCTTTAAATTCTGTCCATGTGGTTAACATGACATTTCAGATATTCTCATGTACAGCAAGCTGCTTCTAGCTTACTTTCACTGTACACGTTCTGCACATTATAGCTGTGAAAGTAAACAGCACAATTTAAATCCCTAAAGAACAGCATTCCTTCTGGGCATAACTCCTCCATGAAAAAGAAAACTAGATTGGAAACTTTTACAACTGTGCAAAATTACAGGTTTTTTTTTTTTTGCTAAAAAACTCTGTGGAATTTATTAAGCTTCAGAAGGAAGAGTTACATGAAATATACTTTGGGACACATAGGAGAAATGGGTCAACTGAGAGACATACAGAGGATTTAATTGACATTGTGGGTTTACGGACAAACTGCCACAAGTCAGAAA